CGGTAGATCTGGTAATTCATGTTGACTAAAATCCCGATAGTGGAAGTGAATGGAAACCTTTTCCTTACGCGGTGCTGCGGTTGGCCAAATCTCTTTATTGTTGCTACGTGCCTTATTGCAGGGTGTCCAGGATTTGGGAAGAGTAGGATTTAGCAGATGGTTAAAAATGTTAAAATGAGTTACGGTTCGGTACCGAACAGTAATCACGGAAGCCTAATCGCGTTACACCCTCTCGACAATTTATTCCTCAGAAAATACTTGGTCCCCGGTGAGGTGGGTGAGAAACGTCGTTACACTATTTTCACCTCAATTTATTAAAGTATAAGTGTGTGGTCGGCGTACAATTGGTCCAGAAAATACAATCGTTTATTTTGTTAATTGTCCCGGCGGGTATGTCGCGATGGTCGGTAGAGGAACAAACTGTTTGGAGGTGTAGGCGTACTCGGTTTTTATATTGTTAGGACAGGGAGACAGGAGTAGCGATAGATAAAGATAGAAGTGGAGAAAGTGGTGGAAACGGAAAATTCGTTCGTCCTCGTACGAACCTGGATGCCTCATGTGCGCTTCTTAGGCTACTCGAGGACGAAGGCAAGTCTTAACCCGGGGAGAGACAAAAGAACGGAAACCAAAATCTGATGGAGTTGGAACAGAGAAAGTTCGCGTGGAAGAATAGAACGACGTTCGGTAAGGAGGTTTGCTCCAATTCCTCGAAACTAGGAGCAGATATTGGGGTATCGCTGAGTTAAAACACTTAGGGACCGTCGTTGCGTGAAACAGAACTTCATTTGACAGAGATTTTTGACGATACGTGACGTGCGCGTGGTAGAATGGAGAATGAACGCGGAAATGGGGAAAATAGGGCTATTTAAGGATTCTCTGGGAAGATGGACTTTGGGTTGTGACTATGTTGGAAGGTGAAGAGTCCAGTATGAGTAATGGTGAAAGTGGATGTTGTGAATACAGATAAAACTAAGGACTAAGAATGAAAATATTCGAGGGTGTATTGGAAGGTGAAGAGTCCAGTATGAGTAATGATGAAAGTGGATGTTGTGAATACAGATAAAACTAAGGACTAAGAATGAAAATATTCGAGGGTGTAACAGTATGAAGAAGAAAACAGATTTTTCCCAGCAGCATCGAGGCAACAAGGGCGAAGTAACGAGGAACATAAGACGGAAGATCGTTCAGCCTCGACCTTCGAGGTGAAACGAGAGGCGATAGAGGTGTAGAGGAATATAAAACGTCGATGAAGCTGATCGTCTTTCATTATTAACACTCTATGAGCATGTACACGGCGTTTCACCGGCCGAGGAATCCCCGTCGGGGTGTATAAATGACTTTCAGGCCGAAACTTACTCTCCTCCCGGCTAGAGAGACGCGGATCGTGGCCGACCTCAATCGAAGTTCACCCGGCGCGAGGGTCGAAATGGCCGCAGACACCGCTTTCTACGACCGCCAACCCTTCGCGTGTGTCCCGCTAAGTGCCGTTGTCTCCATTAACCCCCGCCCAAACCAGCCGGCCAACGTTTAAAACAACCAAACGCCCTCGCTAAAAATCGTTACGTTTATCTCTTCGTCCTTTGTCGCACGATTTATATCGATCCAAGGATCGTACTTTAATATCACGCTGAAACGAGTAAGAAAAGGAACACCCTCGCTCTTCCTACTAAAACCCATAAAACGATCGATAAGATACTCTAAAAGTCGGTGTATTTATCTGTGCGTCCTTTATCAGGCGATTCATATCGATCGAAGGATCGTACTTTAAGAGAAAGAGGTAAAGCTGTAGGATGTGAGATAAGAATGTTTGGGCAGAGCTAATCGAGGGAGGTGTGAATAAAGAGTGTTTGGACCGTGTGACAGTTCTTCGGAATGAAAATGCACGCGTGATAGGAGCGATGTGACTGAAAATCGCGTGCACAAATCTGTGATCCCACTAATATTCGGACGCTATTTGGGACATTGTCACTTTTTAAAGATTGGATCTAACGACTTGAGTTTCTTTGAGAAGTTAGGATTAGTGTACTAGATGACTGTGCAAAAAGTTTGGAAAAAATTGCAATTTGTGTAGTACACTAATCCTAACTTCTCCAAAAAACTCAAGTCGTTAGGTTCAATTTAAAAGAAGTCACAGTGTTCTAAATATTGGATTATGGGAGTTACTGGTTGTTAAATAATTAATAATCCTTATTTTAAACTATAAACTTTTATTAGACACAAGGAAACTTCGCTTTTCTACTTGATGGCAAGAGCACTGTATACGGACTGAGAATGCTCATACGCAACGACCGGAGGGCCTTTTGTCACGTATCATAAACATTTAGATCTTTACTAAGCAAAGGTGGTAAAGCTAAACGGATTTCTCCGAACGTATACAAAAGAAATATAAACATCCTAGTAAGGCTTTAGATTAATTTTTGTTATATCTAACTGACTGATAAATCTAACAGTGAATTCTATTGAGATCTAGAAATCTACTAAACTTCGCTGAAATCTCCCAAAATTTGCCAAAATCTCTTCTCTTTGCCATTGCAAATTTAATCTAAAATTATTTGACTCGTGCAAGTCGTTAAAAAATTATTAATATTCTATTCATTCTATAATAGAATCTTGAAGTGTAATGAATATTGGATTATGGGAGTTATGGATTGTTAAATAATTAATAATCCTTATTTTAAACTATAAACTTTTATTAGACACAAGGAAGGTTCACTTTTCTACTTGATGGCAAGAGCACTGTATACAGACTGAGAATGCTCATACGCAACGACCGAAGAGCCTTTTGTCACGTATCATAAACATTTAGATCTTTTCTAAACAGAGGTGGTAAAGCTAAACGGATTTCTCCGAACGTATACAAAAGAAATATATACTTCCTAGTGTCGTCGAATCACTTTAGACGGTGGATTTTACGAATTATCTTTATTTGTTGATAGTTTTTTACCCAAAATGACCCATTATCATCTTTCGAAAAAACGTGAGTGTTCTATACTGGTAAGTATTATCGCTTGTAACTTTCCGAATTTATATTCTACATGTATGCTTCCATTTGCATCGGTATGAATCGAATTTTCCAATCACGGTTTACTTACATAAAAATTCACTTTTGGAAAGTCGCTAATGGGTGATTTTGACCCGGTCGGTAGTTTTAGTGTTAAAGACTCGGTACAAAAGAAATGGGTACAGTGCATCAGTTTGAAAATCTGCCGGAGATAGGACAGGAATTCGGTGGGAAAGTGGAAAACGCGCAGCTAGTTGTCAAAACGGCACCTGGGATAAGGATCTGTATGCATGGGAGTCAAGGGACAAAGGGATGAGGATTCAACACTAATATTTGTTATATCTAACTGACTGATAAATCTAACACTAAAGAGTGTCGGAATATTAGTGGGAGTCACTGACAAGATCGAGGTGAATGTCAAAGGCGACGTGCGTTCAGAAATAAAACTGTATTCCTACAAAAGAAGAAACACAGACCACTTAAATAACATATACGCTTCAACTCTTCCAACATCTATCAGAAACTCCGACAGACTTGTGCGATCTCCATTCTCGAACAAAGAATATTCATTTGTCGGTAGCGACTTTTACGTGCAGAACGAAAGAAATCAGAGAACGGAATGGTTAAGTAGGTTTAGAAAAGGAACGTTTCGTTCCTTTCTATCGCATATATTCGTACAAAGTGGGGAAAGGAAAATCTGCGAGGATAGAGAGAGAGTTGTAATCCGCGAATATGAATACCGAAGAGTCGGGATGGTTTGAAAAGGACCGTGACCTATAAATTCGAGTTAATTAAAGGTATCGATCCGCGAAACACAGCCCTAAGAATATTTTTCAACGAGTTTCCGTGGATGAAAAGCTACCGTCTCCCTTCCACCGGTTCGCCATCGTCGGTTAGCTCGATGTTTATTAGAGCATCCGCGACGCGCGCGGACGAAGATTAATATGTGGCGGAAAATGTTCGCCGGTTAATTAGCGGAAAATCAGGCTGGAAGAAAGCCAGCTCCTTCCTCCTCCCCGCTCTTTTTTTCTCTGGGAAGGGAAGAAATTGAAAGTAGAAAGGGATTTGAAAAGAGCCGGGAGAAAAGCAGCGAGAAAGAAGGGCGTAGAAGGGAGGGTAGGTTCCACATGAAAACAGGCCACTCGATTACGCGCTTGTTTCGCCACTTAAATTACCACCGCATTGAACCCGCGTCGATAAACCGTCGTTGTTGAATTAATAACTGATCCTAATTGAATTAATAATCCGCTCATCCCTCCACGGAAATTGTAATAGCTGCTCGGTGGCTAGCAAAATACGGCCAAGCTATACGGTACAGTTATTGGTTCCTGTCCAATTATTGACTTCCCTTCCTTCCCTCTCCATTCCGTTCCTGGAATGTTCTATCAAACCACCGACGAAACGAGTGTTTCTAAAAAAAAAGAAACAACGGAAGGGAAGACCGCCTACATTGGAATATATTTACCCGTCGAATATTTCGAATACACCAGCCTTCGTTTTCTACCCTCCCATGTATACACTATACATGTATATGTTGTATGTACATCGGCGATGGTAAACATGCCTTCGGAAAGTGAATAGAAAGAAACACTCTGTAAACGACAGTTTTCTCTCGTCGAATCGTAACTCTGCGCGTAAAGAGAAGGCACTTCGGCGATGATAAAAACGGGACGGGAGCGAGAACGCGCGGGGAAGATCGAAGGACCGCGATGTTTACGATTCAGCTCTACCAGTGGCGAGCCAGTGTCGACAAGAGAACGATTCTCCGGACAGCGAAACCCTGTTGACATCTGGCTGTATGCAAAGTTGTGCCGCAGGAACAAAGAAGGTCTTCGTCGAAAGCCTGCCACGACGAAAACATCAACACAGTCGTCGTGTCCTTTAGGCGCACACGTACAGAAACACGTGTATGTATGTACGTTTCACGATACGACTTTCGTCGAAGATGGAATTTTCCCGTACGACAAGAGGTAAACGATTTCGTTAAAATTCGACTCACCGCTTCTTCCGGTAGGCGTAGGCGCGGACGTTGATCTTCCGGTTGGCTCTGGAAGCGGGTATATCAGATCGCAGCACTCTCTCTCTGGGAATTCGCTGGCACGAGCGAATCTGCAGCAGCAGGAGAGAACGAATAGCGCCGCGGCGACGCTGGTCAGCAGCGTGGAACGCCAGAGCAGCGTCCCGACGACACGTGACATGACTCGTCTCATCGGATCATGATACAGCATCGGCTTCCCCTTCAGCCTCCTCTTCTCAACACGCTCCTCTTCGACGGTTCTGATGGCCACCTCTGGTCCACCGATCGGACGACTAAGACGAATCCCGCGGCGTCCGCGCGACATCCTCTCGTCGTCCGTCTCATCATGCGACGCCTCCTCCACCTTCGATCCGATCCAAACAAACTGGACACTCGTCGTTGTATCCAACGCCGTGTATTTTCCCACTCCTTCTATCTTCTCTCTTTCTCTCTCTTTATTTCCTCTATCTACTCGATCCTTCTCACGCGAAGAAGAAACCCGGACACTTTTCTTCCTCCTCTTCTTTACTCTCCCGTACAATTCGACAGAAGCGAAACACTTTTTTTCCCCGCCGTTGCACGAGCGAGCTACGCCACCGAATTATCATTAAACTTCAACTGTAATACGAATATACATAAGAGAAGATCCTCAGGCGAAGGTAGATCGATGGAGGAGAAGATAGCCGCGTCCCGACGCACCAATCATCCTCCTACGTTGTAACCTTCTCAACGGTGGGACGATCGTTGCTCTAACACCGCGTACGGAATCGATCACACGCACGAGCCACAACTTGCAAAACAAACCGATCGGACGATTATCGAAGCGAGGTACAACGACGCACTTATCAAACCATGCGTATAATCGCGGACTCGCTCGATTCAACCCCCCCGTCAGATATCCTCTGTGTCCTGTGTGTAATGTGTGTAGCAACGTGTGTGTGTGTGTGTGTGTGTGTGTACGCGCGGAGAGAACAGTAGTGGTGGGGTTGTGTGAGAGAGTGTGGCTGCAGAAAACGATGCGGCAAAAGTCGCGCACTCGGTCCCCTCGTGTCGCTTCGTTTCGAACGAACACACTTCGCGCGCGCGTGCCCGCCTCGTCGAGCGTGCTTCCGAGCCGAGACCGCGTCGCCACGGCGTCCCGACGCCCAATGACCACCGCACCGCGTTACACCGACTCGACGCGCTGCCTACCCTTCCCCCCACCTCTCTCTCTCTCCAGCGCCCGCTGCCGCGACCACCCCCCACCCCTTTCGCGCTCTACCACCGCTCTCTCTCTCTCTCTCATCCCCCGTTAACTTACACACGATAGTTTCTGCGCGAAAGTGTGCGCGTTCCGAGCGTTCCGAAGGCTTGGTGAACGGCGCGCCGCGGCGCTCCTCTCCTCTCTCTCTCTCTGCTGGTGTAGACGTACGTGTCCTTGCATGCGACGCTCTACGTACACTCTTGCTCTCCCCGGTCGTTTTGTTAGCCAGGTGAATATAGAGGGAGAGGTGTGTATCTGTCCACTCGTGTGCCGATCTCTCTGAGGGGGTGGAAATGGGTACCTGATTTGCGCGATTCGCCGAGGGAAACGGGGTTAATGTTGTTCCTCCGCGAGGATTTTCCACCTTCTTTCTTTCTTCGTTTTTCTTCTTATAGGTATTAAAAGGTCGGTTTGTATGGATTTTACGCGAGGTTCCAGTTTCTAGGAATAGGGATGATTAATCGCGGGCATAATTCTCCCGATGCACGTAGCGTGTATGCTCGAGTGTTGTTCCTGGTTGAGGTAGGTAGTGCGGGGGTGATTAGATGTGACGTAGGATAGGCGGGGTGTTAATGTAAAGGTTCGACGTTGCGGTTGAGATATCGTGGAAGTGTGTCCTGTTTGTGATACGCTTTAGCTTCAGGTTGGAGGTTTGAGGGCTGTTAAATAGAAAGCATAGGTGATTTCTTAATCTGTTTTATTTGACGCATTATTGAAATCGTCTTTATTCCTTCGCTCTTGCAACAGTCTTCAAACAGTCTCGTCGTCCTACAACTGAGCGCTTAAAGTATAATAGCTTCCAAATTTTTTGTTCTGCTTTAGAGCTCCTTACAATCAGTTTCACAGCGAGAATTATAAGTAGGGTTCGTGACATTACTTGGGCGTGAAAGAAACTTTACCGGTTGCACATAGGATCGCTGTTACGAGACCAATTTCAAGTATTACTTGTTAACCTCAAGCACAAATATCTAGCCTAAAAGCACAATAATCTATTTATCCAAGAATTGTTCATTTTTAGTTGTACTGTTATACCTGTACTGAAAGTAAAATACATCGTACTTAGAAAGCAGTTATCTTATAATTCTTACTCACCTTTCAAGTATAAACTAGAGAGATGCAACTTCTGTTTCAAAGGGGAACACAGTTAAGAGGTCAAATCTGTATACCATCTTTAACATTGTATTAGGTACACAAACAAATTCTGCCTGAAAGTATCACTCAAAAACAATAAAAACAGATCGATCATCGAAACAGTTTCCATCATTACCAGTAACCTTTGGCCATTTTTCAAAAACTCTGCAACTTTGAATCAACTATGCAAACACACTCGAAAAGAATTAATTTCTACACCCAATATCAGTCCAGAGACTAAGTATCGTAACTCCCACACAAAGTTCATTCCTCCTGTTCACACATCTCTCTTTCCACCCCCACTAAACGACGAACAATTTTCACTCCCAAGTACCTTCTTAAAAAAAGAACGTTCACATCAATGGACGAAGAGAGAGAGGAGGGATTGCACCAACAGCCCCCACGTGGTCGATGGAGTTAGCCGCGCTTGTATGCATTGCGTGTACCATCCTCGTAAGTTCGGCCCGGCCCAATATTGGTGTCCGTCGTTATTGGGCCGACGTTTGTACGTGTGCGTTGGTCGCTTCTCTCACCCTCGCAACGTCCTCTATGCATACATACATGTACACGTGTAGGTGTATACGTGTCGGTGTAACACGATTCCACGGCAGTTGATGGAAACGACTAGGTCCGAGCGGATCCGAGGGACTCCGAGCGCCGGAACAACCCCCTGGCCGGCCGACCAGCCACCGGCCCACCAACGACCCTCGTTCTCCTCGTGCGCGCCGTTCCTGACCTCGTTTCGCTCGGTTTGTCGAGGTCGGTTACACGGAAATGCCCGCCGGGCCCCGTACAAACGGTCCATCCCCTGAAAACTATCCGAACCCTTAACCTCTGTCACGTCTCTCGCCGTTACACCGCCTCTCTGTCGCTAATAATAACCTTCGCAAGGTGTTTCGTGGATCTTACAAGTGTATCCGATGTAAGGGTTGAAACGGTTTAAAGAGTTTCTCGTACATCGTTGCTGTTGTAGGATAATTGTCGATAGGCATACTTCTGGTGAGGTGTGAAGTCTGTGAATATCTTAATTCCCGGCGAGCTGGAGGAAACTTATTTGAGTAAAGTTTATACGTTTTTGGGCAATAATTCCGACTAGTACGACTAACACGCCTACGGAAAGTACGACCGAAACGACGTGTGTTTGGAATGTGACGCTGGCTTCAACCCTTCGACAGTTTATCCCGTGTGAGACTCGGGCAAAACGTGAAATGTTTAACTGTTTCACTCGAGAGACACTCTTAGGAAGAAAGTTAAAAGGGGACGAGATATTATTGTCGTAACTATGACGTAGGTTGTGTATCCCTTGTTTCAAAAATAATCATACCTGACGTAATTATTCAGAAAATACGTGTGAAATATAAATTTTAATTCATAATTTTATTAATCTGTCGAAGAGCTAAAAACGTCGGAGAAATGTGATTTTCGTACATTTTTGAAACTTACTGGTCGGTACGTCTTCGAGACGTGTAACTAAAAATGGACGTAATAATGGACTAAGACGTCATGTGCTGCAAGAGTTCCTTAAAAGTAGAACGTAATGTCCAACTCAGGTAACACAGTAGTCGACTAACAACTCCAAATTATAAATTTTTTTACCTATACATTCTCTCCTTTCCTATTTCACCATTCCTTTCCCTAAATTGAAGCAAACCACGCAGCATTCCCAGGACACGTTCAGCCACGTCAAGCCAAAACCTTGAGTGGCCGTGCACTTTCTTTTGCACCCTAATCTCGAGCATTAGGTCGGAACATTCTTCTCTAAAACTAGCCGCAACATTCTAGCCGAGACACTCGCCTCGTACAATTGCACAACACGAGGGTCACTAGAGATAATTTCTCAAATCTGTGAAATCCTTCACTCTATATTAAATTCTACGATACCAACCGTTCATTCATGCACGATTTTTTACTCTCGCCGCTTTCCCAGCGATTCTCCGCAAACAATTTCTTCCTCGAGTCGTTGTTAACCATGTGGAAAGCAAGACCGAAGTTAAAACTCGAGAACCAATCTACGGTAGACCGTGAAATTTTCATCGTTCTACATGCAACGAACCCTGCGGTCGGGGGTAACGTTGAAAATTTCACCGGTCCATCGTCGTGGCTCGTTCGGCCGGGCGATGTTAATAAACGATAGCAGTTGTTAAGGATAGCGAGTGGCTCGTTAAGGGAGCTACTTGACGAATATGAATAACAAACAAATTGGCAAAGTTAGCGGTAACCGCGGGGCCAAAGTTTCGCGAGGAAAGGCGACGCGATTCCAGTTTGTCGGAGAGTGCCGCTCCGTTGTTCGTGAATCGACCATTGTCAATTAGGATGACAGAGGGGGGAGGGACGATTGTCCGGAATTCACGAACGATCGAGACGCGCCGCATAATGCCGGGGCAAACAGTATTATTAATTCTCATCGCGACGTCCCGAAAATCCGATATTCGACGTCTGCTGTTGGAAAAATGCCGCGCCTCGCCGTCCGCATAATCACGACTCGATTGGCCGCGTTAAATAGAACCGACCTAATATTGACGTGTAATATTAATCGAGTTTTATGCCTGCACCGGGCAATTATTTCATTGGGTCGAACCCGTCGTGTACTCGTTTCGCGATTTAACTTGCCGCGGTGCGCGTGCCTCCACGTATTGCGTTAAGGGTAAATCATAAAACAGATATGTTTGTGAATATTTTTTGGAAATTATTGAAAAATAGTTGGCTGTAGAATTAGAATTTTATGTAGGAAGAAGGAGAATAAATCAATAGATGTGTAAGAGTATGGGTCGAGCGACCCGCAGACCGAGAGGTCCCAACGCCTTGACACCCTCACGCGCTAAGGGCTGGGTCAGGCAACCTTGCTCCGTAGAAACCTGTGCCAGGGTTTCCCGGAGGCAAGAGAGGGGCCTCAAGGCACGTATATGTGGGATCAATTCGTCAGGAAAAAAAGTATACACCGTCGCATAGCC